AGACATTTTCAAATAGATGAGAATTGTGTAAGTTTACCTACAACACATACTCACTGAAGAAAATTATTTTTAGGAATGCATTTCAAGAAGAAGAAAATTGATTCCACAAATATGCAGACATGCAAGAAAGTATCTCTGCCTGGAGTCAGCTCTGATTCATAATGTGTGCCAAAAAGTATTTGCTACAAAACTAATACATTATTTTTGTATATAACTTGAAATTAAAATACAGTTATTGGAGCACAAATTTTAGAACCAAAAGAATGTATCAAAATTTTAAAAATTATCAGATTATGAATTTTTTTAAAAAACTACAAATAAGACCAAAGAAAATTTATTTTTTCCATGCTGGTTAACAGTTTTCAGTTCCTTAATGTGGATAAACTGGAGATTGATATAAGAACTTGTTTTATATCTTCCTTGTATTTTTGCCTCACACATGCACACACACACAAAGAGTTTTCAGGCACTGTCAATTCTTTATAGTTTTAAGAACATTAATCTGGCCACAATTTGTGTCACCATCAAATTCATAACATCTGAATGAATACTCCTATTTCACAGGCAATAATAAGCATTCAAATCAGAATTCTAGGAAGTTGTAATGTGTGTTAATTTCTTCTCTAATTAAAGAACAGGATACTTCCAAGCAACCTCTTCTATATTCCTGTCAAATTCATTGTCTAAATCACTAAACTGGACGGGATGGAGTCAGTGCTTTTATGCCTTTTATTTTCTGAATCTTTTCTATTCAACATGATTCCTCAAAGATTATATTTGGTGCCCTCCTAATCACCTCACTGCCCTAACATGTAATTCAGCCAGAGAAGGCTAAGACACAACTCATTTGAGCAGGTAAGCTAATTACTTCTCGCATTTTCTGAACAGATTCTTTTCAGTTTGAAAATAAGTTATCTTAAGGAAAAAGTTTCTTTATCTCTTGAATATTCATTAATACTCTTCCCTTGGCCAGGCTTAGGCCTAAAATTCTCTTTATCTTCTTAATGCAAATCTAAATATAATGGTCTTTCTAGTTTTTCTGAACATTTTTGGAAGCATCAGCTCATTTAAGTTGATATTCTTCCTGACACTATTCTTAAAATTTGTTCTTAAAACTTTTACAGACTAAAATTTTACCTCAAGAGAAATTTCATTTGTCCATTCATGGCTTACTTGGATCCTTTGTATAGTTCAAGTCTTAACAAATATATCATCAGTGTGATATGCAAAATGACTCCCCTAAAGATGTCCATGCCCTCTTACATTGCAAAAGGGACTTTGCAGACATAATTAAAGTTACATATCTCAAAATATGGCAATTACCTTGGATGCTCCATGTGTGCCTAATCTAATCACAAAAGCATTTAAAAGCAGAAGGTGTTTTCCTAGATAAAAATGCAGCAAAAATAAAAGAAGTCAGAGAGAGTTCACATTATAAGAGGGACTAAATCTGCTGTTACTGGAGAAGGTGACATGGAAAGCATCAGAAGAAAGATAGGCAACCTCTAGGAGCAAAGATCAACTCTCTCCTGGCTGATGGCCAAGAAAGAAATGGGGAACTTACTCCTACAAACTCAAGGAAATGAATTGGTCGGCAACCTAAATGAGATCTAAATAATATCTTAGCCCAGAAAAGAAACATTAATTTTGGTCTTGTTAGGCCTCGAGCAGATAATTCAGCTTAGCCATACTGTGTCCATACTTATGAACCACATAACTGAGATAATAAACGGGCATTGTTTGAAACCACTGATTATGTGGTAATTTGTCATAGCAGAAATAAAAATTAATACCACTCACAACTCTCCTCTATTGTAGAGCCCATCTCATGGAAACGACCCTGTCTTTTCCCTTACTTTTATTAAGTTGGCCTTCAGAATACCTAAATTATATATCAGCACAGCATAGCCACCCTCTCTTCGCTATTCTGACTTCCAAAATGGCATTATTTTTCTTCCTCGAGGCATTCCACCTCTTCTGTAACACCAGTTCTTTTCAGGAAAGGGTCAAAATTAGAATAGCAGTTTCTGTATTTGTTCTCTCCCTCTCCTGGGAAATGAAATCATCAGCAAGGCAAGTCCAGAACTTGTCGGATACTCTGATTTTAGCCAACCGAGACTTCTAGCAGATGTCCAGAAAGTCTCTCATTTTGCCTCTGTGCCAGTTCTGCAGTTTGTGTCAGGAACACATCATCCATTCCCTCCATCTGTTAGTCTGTCACCTTCAAATTTAAAAATTATAAAGAAGCAACATTTACGTATTTGGCTCTGGGATTACAGTGATGTTACTTTGGTGCCTCTCTTTTTACATTCTCACAACTGTTGCCTTTGAAGTCATTTTTAAGTATATATACATATATACGTATTTAGGGTATAAAACATGATGTTTTGATATGTGTACATTGTGGAATGGTTAAGTATGATTTACACATGCATTCCCTCACAAAGTTATTTTGCGTGTGCAATGAGAACACTTAAAAAATCTATTTTCTTAGCTATTAAGTATATAAGACATTATTAACTATAATCGCCATTATCTACAACAGGTCTCTTGAAATTATTCCTCCTGTCTAACTAAAATTTTATATTCTTTGACTAACATCTCCCCAGTCCTACCACTCCCACAGCCTCTGGTAATTACTATTCTACTCTCTGCTTTTATGAGTTCAACTTTTTTAGATTCTACATATAAATGTCATCATGTGATATTTGTCCTTCTGTGCCTGGCTTATTTCACTTAACATAATGTCCTCCAGTTCCATCCATGTTATCTCAGATGACAAGATTTCCTTCTTTAAAATTGAATACTAGTGTTAATATATATATATACATATATACACACATATATATGAACACTAAATATATATAGCATATTTTCTTTATTTGTTCATTGATGGACACTTAGGATAATATTGTATCTTGGCTTTTGTGAATTTAACGATGTGTTGAACATCAGAGTGCAAGTATCTCTTCAAGATGCTGCTTTTATTTCCTTTGGCTACATACTCAGAAGTGCAGTTGCTGGGTCATAGCAGTATTATTTTTAATATTTTTGAAGAACTTTAATACTGGTTTTCATAATGGCTGTTCTAATTTACATTCCCAACAGAAGTATACAAGGGTTACCTTTTGTTTATATCCTCACCAACCTTTGTTATCTTTCATTTTTTTGAATATAGACATTCTAACAGGTGTAGAGTTATATCTCATTGTGGTTTTAATTTGCATTTCCCTGAGGATTAGTGATATTAGACATTTATTTTCATATATCTGTTGTCCATTTGTATTTCTTTTTATGAAAAGTGTTTATTCAGGTCTTTTGCCCATTTTAAAATCAGGTTTTATTTGTTTTCTTGCTAATGAGTTGTTTGAGTTCCTTATATATTTTGAATATTAGCCACTTACAAGATGCACTATTTGCAAGTATGTTCCCTCATCTCATGCATTACTTCTTTACACTGTGACTGTTTCCTTTGCTATACAGAAGTTTTTTTTTTTATTTGATAAATTATATATGTCTATTTTTGCTTTTCTTAGCTGTACTTTTGGGGTCAAATTAAAAAATGCTTAGATCAAAAATCAGCCTATTGTCTAGACCAATGTCATCAAACTTTTCCCCTTTGTTCCTTACAGAAATTTTACAGTTTCGGGTCCTACACTGAACCCTTTTCCTATATACCCCCACAATACTAACCAACAGAGCTTGAGGCTGCAGTGTTTACCTGGAAATAACTTTGCCATTAAATATCTTGCTTTTATCATTATTTTTGCATTGCTCTATTATGTCAACTTTAGAAACAAAAAATATCATTCTATTTATAGCATTCTGTTTTTAGTAGTGGTATATCCATTTACATAATATAGTAGTTCTTGATTGCTGAAAATGTGAAATCCTAGAAAACGTTGCTCTTCTACGTGTGATGCTGTGTTGCCAAAGTTTCATTTGATGAATCTGATTTTTCCAAAACAGGCGATTCTGATAATTCTGACAATTCTGACGTTAGTTCTATTTAGAAATAACTCCAAGAATGGTGTTTATATTTTATTTCCACGTTGAAAATTAGTCAAATTTGCTTTGGCTTCAAAGAGCATGTTTATGTAAAATTAAATCAGCATTGGCGGTATACTTTTTTTTTTTTTTTTCTAAATGGGAAAAGGGTTTTTACTCCATTTTGAGTTGATTTTTTTGTATGTACTGTAAGATAAAGATTTAATTTTATTCTTCTATATGTGAATATTCAGCTTTCCAAACACCATTTATTGAAGTAACTGTCCTTTCCCCATTGTGTGCTCTTGTTCCCTTTGTCAAAAATCAATTGATCTTATATATGTGGATTTATTTATGAGTTCTTTATCCTGTTCCACTGGCCAATGTATTCGTTTTTATGTCAGTACCATACTGTTTTGATTACTATAGCTTTATAGTTGATTTTATAATACAGTAGTTACAATGCCTCTAGCTTTGGTCTTTTTGCTTAAGACTTCTTTGTCTATTCAGGGTCTTTTTATGGTGTCATATGAATTTTAGGGTTTTTTCTAATCCTATGAAAAATGTCATTGGAATTTTGATAGGAATTGTATTTAATTTACAGATTACTTAGGGTAGTTTGGACATTTAAAAAATATCAATTAGTCAAACAATTTATTTGTGCTTTTTAAAATTTCTTTTATCAGTGTTTTATGATTTTCAGTGTACAGATCTTTCATCTTCTTGATTAAGTTTATTTCTAAGTATTTTATTTTTCTGTGGCTATTATAAACAAATTGTTTTCTTGATTTCTTTTCCAGATAGTTTGTTGTTGGTGTCTAGAAATACCACTGATTTGTGTATGTTAATTTTGTATCCTACAATGTTACTAAATTTATTAGTTCAAACAGTTATCTCATGAAATCTTTCAAGTTTTCTATAGTAAGACATAATATTTGTAGACATAATGTCTATAAACAGAGACAATTTAATTTCTTTTTTTTCTGAATTTGATGCCTTTTACTTGTTTCTCTTGCCTAATTGAGCTGACCAGGACTTTCAATAATATGTTGAATAGGAGCGGCAAGAGTGAGCATCCTTGTTTTGTTTCTGATCAGAGAAAATTCCTAAAACTTTTCACCATTGAGTATAATATTAGCTGTGAGATTGCCATACATGGCCTTTATTATATCAATTTACATTCCTTCTATATCTAATACTTTGAGATCTTTTATCTTGAAAGAGTGTTGAATTTTGTCAAAAGCTTTTTCTGCATATATCAAGATGATTATAGGGTTTTTGTTTTTCATTTTTAATGATGTAACACAGTTATTGATTTGTGTATGTTGAATCCTCCTTGCCTCCTAGGGATAAATTCTACTTGATCATAGTGATCATCCTTTTATTGTGTTTTTATATTCAGTCTGCTGGTATTTTTATTTCCGATTTTGAAGTCATTTTAATATTATTGTAGACTTGGAATTTGCTAGCTCATTAATCCTGCTTGTCTGGCTGCAGGACCTCAATCTCTCTTCTGGGTTAACTTTGCTTTCTTTGATATTTCTAGGAGACTTCAAAGCTATCTGTAACACATTTAGGAATCTGTCCTAATTACTCCTGATCATGATGCTCTAACTTTAATTTTAATTACCACTATTGACTCTATTTAGACAGCCTGATTCTCTCTGCCACTCCACTCATTTGCTGGATACTTCCCAGAGCACTATACAAGGTTCCCACAGCTTGACCACCTCTTCTGCAAAGTCTATAGCTAATATTGTAGTCTATAGTATATACCAGTTCGTAGTCTAATCAAGTACCTACTGGACACATATATCTATTAAATTTAAATTTAAATACATTAAAATTTAAAATTTACTTCCTCAGTTGTAGTAACCACATTTCAGCTGCTCAACTCAAGTATTGCCGGTAGCTACCACATTGGACAACACAGGGGAACACTCACAGTTTGTTGGAGTTCCATTCAGTAGTATCTGTCTATAGAGAAATATCCTCCTCCTCTACATTCTATTCCTTTACAGTGATCCAAAAAAAACTGTTATACAGATTAGAGAGAACAGAAGGGCTTAAATGTTTGCTTATGATTGCTAGCTTTTGAGTGTAACAACATAAAAAGGAATCAGATTTCATCCTATATGGGGGAATTTTTCCTAATAATTTTATGTTTGCTTAAACATATAAAAATTAAGCCTTAGTAATGACCAGTATTCACACTGTTGAGTGTACATCATCTCAAAATACATCATGAATCAAAAGGCAACTCTCATTAGCACCTGGCTGGGAATATTCTGTTTTATTAAATTTTTGTTGCTAAATAAAATATGTTGCTGGATAAGGGTAGTTAGAACTTTTATCTGCCTGGGTATCAGGAAAAATTCTGCTACTTCTTACCAACACTGCGTCCCTCCCCATATCTCTCCTGATATAACATCTTCAGGAAATGTGACACGTGAAAACTCAATCTGCTTTACTGATAAAGAATAGAGAAACATGCAAAAAAGGACTAAGAGTTTGTTATGGAATAGGAAAGCTGCATCTTGTGTTGTATTCATCACACTCAAAGGACTTCTTAAAAGCAACCCATATTTCTCTGGCTGTCCCTGCAATAGATTAAATGGGTATGAAATCAACTGAGCTAAGGAGCCATTTACATTGTGTTCTTGGAACTACATGTATTCCAAAGAAGTATGCCTAAATTTGAAATAGCTTCCTATCCACCTAAGAAATAAGTGTGGGAAATGGGAAGCTGGGTTGTCGGTGCCATCTCTGTCTATTCTGTTTGTCCACACTAATGAGTGTTTACATTTTGTCTATTTTAAAATGTTTAATTTGATTTGCTTCAGTAAGGTTAGTGAACTAGTAAAATAGACTTGAAGATATTGACATTAACACCTAGAAGATATTCTGCTTCAAGAAGTAAATTTAGGTACTGCTGTGAAGGGATTTTGCAGAAACAATTAAGAACTGAAACCTTAAAATAAAGCAGAAGGTCTGGGCGGGCCTGGCTTAACTGCATGAATCCTTTAAATGCAGAACATTTCCTTCAGCACACTGGAGAATGGAAAGTCAAAGATATTCCAAAAGATGAGAATTCGGGACTTGAGAATTTTTGTTGCTGGAGGGGGCTATGTGTCAAGGAAGATGGGTGGCCTCTAGGAGCTAAGAATGACCCCTGACTGAGACCTAACAAGGAAATGGAGAAGTCAGTCCTTTAACAACAAAGAATTTATACAAGAATGAGTGTGAAAACGTATTTTTCCCCAGAGCCTCCAGACAAGAAATCAACCTAGCTGACAACCTGATTTCAACCTGTGAAACCTGGAAGAGATAATTTGGCCATGATGTGCAACATTTCTTACCCCATGGAACTGTGAAGTAATAAATGGGTGTGGTTTTAAGCTACTAAATTTGTGGTAATTTGTCATACTGCAATAGAAAATACAGACAGATAATACTATTACTTCTATGTAATCTCTGGCCTACCCAGAGTACACAGGTGAGTTTAGTTCAAGTAATAGCCATCAGCATCCTCCAAAGTGCTCGATTCTCAATCAGGCTCACACAAAACAAGTCTTACTGTGCACCAAGCTTTACTACCAACTCACAAAGACAGAAGAAAGGAGCCACATTCAACGCCAAATCAAAATCTCAGGTGCCCTGATCCAATCAGATTCAGGTTTCTAAAACAGCTCCACTCTTTTTTATTATTTGTGCAAATGTGTAAGGTATATGAGAAATTGTTACATGTATATCATGAATAGTGATCAAGTCAGAGTATTTAGGGTATCCATCACCCAAAGCATGTATTGGTATAAAAATAGAAACATAGATCAGTGAAACAGAGTAGAAAACCCAAAACTAAAGCCTCATAATAACATAATCTCTGACAAAGCCATCATGAACTTACATGGGAGAAAGGAGACTCTCTTACACAAATGGTGCTGGGAACATGAGACAGATATATGTGGAAGAATGATACTGGGCCTCTATCTCACATCATATGCACAAATGAACTCAAAATTGATCAATGACTTACATGTAAGACCTGAAGCCATAAAAATACCAGAAAGAAAATATAGAGAAAACCCTCCTGTGCATTGCTTTAGACAAATAATATAGAACTAAGAACTCAAAAGCAGAGATAACAAAAACAAACATATACAAATGGGACTTAATGAAACTAAAATGCTTCTGCTGAGCAAAAGAAATAATATACAGTCTATTCAAAAGGAGAAAATTTGCAAAATATTCATCCAATAGGAGACTAACAACCAGAATACACTTCCACTCTTGAATGCATTTTGAGTTCAATAAACCAGCACTACGTCCATTACAAATTTTACAGGAAAGCTACTTAGTTTGGTGTTCTTACCAATCATGTAACTACAAAGATTATGCAATTAACTTCTATTCTCTAGGACAGCTATCTCTCACAAGTCCGTCCATAAAATTGTATGTTTATTTAGAAGTCCCAGACTTGAAGAAGACATTCATTTACTTCTTAGCTGGTGAATTCCATCAGTATATTCACAAGAAGATGTGGTCCAGTCAAAATTGCCTGCCATGAGGAGATGGTAGAAACTGAGTTACAGACTCCCTTTTCCCTAGCTCCCAATTATATTCAAAGCATCTGCTTTTCTTTGATGCTGATATTTTTTCTTTCTTTTAAAGAATACTTTCTTCAGTGTCAAACAGTCCACTTCACCTCTACCCCATTACAATTTGGACTCTGATGCATCTCTCTGCTTCAATTCACCTGTAATACCTTCATAGCCAAATCTACAGGCTAAGCACTGAAAAAGTCAAGGCTTATTTTGTATTAGTTTTGTCTTTGTTTTGTGGTGGTCATTTAATACAAAAACCTAGGCCCATTAAGATTAATGGATACGAAATATATACTCATATTAAAAGGAGAGTATACCCATATCTAGTTTCAGGCCCAGTCCACTGAGGCATCCTACATGTGTTTGCATATGTCTTACTGATATTATTTCTTTTTTACTAGTCCTGATTGCTCATTTCCATTTCGAATTCATTTCAACAACTCTTCAGAACATTGGTAATGTTTCATGTTATGCAATAAGCTCATGTTTAGTTTATTTATTATCCGTATGCTAAAAATTGGTATATACTAGACATCAGAAACCATAGTTTTATTTTTTAGCCTCTTCTAAATAGTTTGTGTTTATTAATAGCCAGTCTTTCTATTCTCCATGGAATTCCTGAAGTAGTCAACATTTTTAAATCTAATTTGGATCTCTGTTCTTTGTTCAGTTTTACGTATTTTTGGACAAGTCATGTAGTCTTCGGGCAGAAAGAAAACACATTATTGTTGGTTCCTGTGAGGCTAGCTTATTTCTTAGTCAAATATTTTGCTGCTGATGGTATGACTCAGATTCCAAACGTTCCTTTTTAATGCCGCCTGAGATACCTGAATTTACTTGAAAGCATCACTGTTCCTTTGAAGAACTTAAATTTTCTGTTGTAAACCACATGACACAGCATTTTAAGATTTTAGAAATTTCTCTTCTAGAAATATAACATGTCTTTTTAAATTAGCAGCAACAAACAGCATACAGCCAATCAAATTGAATAGCGGCAGGTTGTAATCCCATATTAAACAAATACATCTCCCAATGAATCACATTAGGTCTATAATCCTCAGTAGGAAGTCAAAACCAACCCTCAGGTCTTTTCAGAACTCATACTAAATTCCTGGAAGCATTAGAATTCAGGGGATTTATTACACAATGTCGTTGTTTTTCCCAGAAATCTAGCTTTCCTGTAATAGGACATGCTTATTGATTTCAGAGCTCCAGTAGAGTAGTTTATTGCTCCATTTTCTACTCATAT